ATGTGTTTTCGTTGGGGCGGGCGGGTTATTATCTCCTGAAAACTGACAAAGTGTTAGTGTCCAGTAGTTGTATCCTTTGTTTTTAATTTGTTAAACAATTGGTTACGTAAACCAGGGGTGCACATAAGTGGTACGCAGATACGCCATGCGCGGCAACAATCCTGAAATGCGTACCGTCATTTGGTGCACAAAGCGCATTTGCGTACCGACGTACTTTGTGAAGCTTTTCCAGAAGAGCCGGTTAGATCACGCGGACGACAGTCCGGTTCCCGTGTGCCACAGACATGGCTGCTTTAACGTCGGTCTGTCATGCAGCACGCGCCTAAAACAGCTGATCACAACGTTCACATGCTCCCCCCCTCACCCCTCCCCCCCCGCTGACATTCGCGATACAGAGGGCTTCATGGGAACTTTGAGGGTAGCCAGAAGTTGGAGTACCAAACAGTGACTCCAGGTACTCATCTGAGTACCTTACTGAGAAATTGTGTGCACCCCTGGTTATAAATGCCTTGTGTTCTTAACCAGTAAATTGCTTTGACATGTCCGGTCCGGGCTGCCACATTAAAATCACAACACATATGCAATATGATTTACAAAGATTTACAATAAAACAAAAACACTTTTCAACACAAGTGCCTCAACCTTATGCTTCTGTCACCATATTCTTTTTTTTGTTGTTGAACAAAATGTTTATTTAACCATATGCAGATCAATTTTACATTGTTGAGATAGAAAAACAAACAAACAATTACTTACAGTTCGGCAAACACAGATAATTATACATCATGGTATCTTAAAAGTTACATCCAAACAAAGAGGAATGAGAGAATATTGAATCGGCAACACACAAATAAATTAAACTAGACTTAGTTTTGTTCAAGTCCAACCTTATATCGTTACAGCACCTTTTCACAATTGTAGCCCAAAATGATCAATTACAGGAGTCCATCTATTTACAAACACATCCGACTTCATCTGGAGTGTTGCTGTTATTTTTTCCATTGAGAACACCATCAGTAGCCTGTCTTGCCACTGACGTAGGGTGGGTGGCAGTGGTTTAAGCCAAGATATCGTTATCATCTTTCTTGCAACCAAGAGAAGGATATGCAGTAAATGAATTACTTCAGCTTCGGGCAGTCCCAAAAAATGTGAGTGTGATCTCCAATCTGTTTACAGTCCCTCCAACACAAATTTGTTAACGCTCCGTTATATTTTGAAACTAGGGATGCACCGAATATTCGGCCACCGAAAATTATCGGCCGAAAATGGTTAAAAAGGTTTTAGCACCGAAAAAATATCACCGAATGTCAGAGAACAGGGTTACGTTGATCATACTCCGCATATTTGTCCGGGTGTTTTGATTTCAAGTGGTGGAGTAATCCCAAAGTGGTGAAAGTCTTTGCAGTTACACCCCCTCGAGAAATGTCAGCTGAACACGTTTTACAAATCGCAATCCGCGCCTGGTGTAACTGCAAAGACTTTCACCACTTTGGGATTACTCCACCACTTGAANAGGACTCCTCTTATTGTTTCAAAATATAACGGAGCGTTAACAAATTTGTGTTGGAGGGACTGTAAACAGATTGGAGATCACACTCACATTTTTTGGGACTGCCCGAAGCTGAAGTCATTCTGGGAAGGGATTCGTACAGAAATA